CATGGCTTCCGTCAACACCGGTCATGCACCACCAACCTACTTATTGCACGAGGTAGTTCGACGGAAGTGGCCGATGATGGGGTCGGAGTCGACGTCATCTATCTGGACTTCTCCAAAGCTCTCGACCGCCTTGATCACCGCATTCTACTTCCAAGACTACAAAGTTACGGAATCGGAGATCCTGTACTTGGTTGGATTGGCAACTTCCTTTACCAACGAAACCTTCAAGTACGTGTTAGGGGACCATTCTTTAACCCAATTGAGGTGGAATGTGGTGTCCCACAATGTTCAGGGCTGGGACCGCGTTTATTCCTGGTGTTTATCAACGACCTGGTAAGAGTCATCTCCTCAAACTTCCTGCTTTTCGCCGATGACGTCAAGATATGGCGGGCGATTAGTAACAAGGCAGATCAGGATCTGCTCCAACATGACCTAGATTGCATTTACGAATGGTCAAAGAGGAACGAGCTTCAATTGAACATGGCTAAGTGCAAAGTGATGCATCTGCGTCACCAGCCGGTGAGCACTTACAAGATTGGAGACCACACCTTGGCAAAGGTTTCTCAGGAGCGTGACCTGGGTGTATTGGTACAGGAAGCTCTCGGGTGTTCAAAATAAACAGAGAAGGCGAGGAGAACCGGAAATCAATACTTCGGCCTGCTTCGCAGAGCGTTCTGTGGGTTTGAAACCTCAATATTTCCCCAAATGCTTAACGTCTACGTGCGACCTCACGTGGAATATGCTATTCAGGCGTGGCAGCCGTGGCAGAAACAGGATCTTGTTGCTATCGAGACTCCTCAACGACGGGCAACCAAGAACGTCAGGGGCCTCTTTCATCTGCCCTATAAGCTCAGACTGAAATCTCTAAGTATGTACAGCAGTCGATATCGGCTTTTGCGGGGGGATCTCATAATGGTTTACCAGATTCTGAAGAACCTAAACTACATTTGCCGTCCGCTGCTGGAATTGAACCACAACACTAAACTAAGAGGTCACCCTCTGAAACTGACAATTCATTATAGCCAGCTTGAATGCTGTAGAAATTTCTTTTCTCTCCACGTGTACCAGCCTTGGAACGCCCTCCCTAATTATGTCGTCTCTGCTCCCAATCTGGCGATATTTGAAAAAACGTGTTGACGATGCATTTTCTCACGTACATTTCATTTTATGACTTGTTAGCCCGGGGCTCCAAAAAGCAATCAAACAGTATCTTGCCAAACGCCTAATCAGTGGATTGATGGATTTATACGTTTAATACGCGAACATCTCTGCTATCCCACATAAGTCTATGGTGAGTCCACCACAACGCTTTTCACTGTATTATGCAATTGATTTTCGCAATAATTTCCATCCCACGGGACTTGTTGAGCGATGCTTTTTTACCCGTAATAAACCATTGTTCCATTGTTATATAGGAATTTCAACAATATTCACAAAGTAAAGCGTGGTATCCCTCAACTTTCACTACAGGTGGTAAGCCTCAAAGCGCCGGATAAGCAGACAATGTAAAGTGGTTACATCACGCCCAGACTTCCGAACTCGCAGACTTAACCGGTCGCATATGGTCAAGCACATCAACATATCAAGGGTTTACAGCTGAAATTTCCAACTCAGAAACTTGGCTAGGGTAGTTACTTTCATTGCGCGATCATACATATGTTGGAGCTGACACATCTGCTTCAAACCCTGAAGGCTGCGACCACCAAGCTATCTTAACCACTGTCACAGTTCTTCCCACTATGTAGAAGCATGGCATTATTATCACAAATTTTATAGGCTGTGGCCCTTCAGATTCTGTATACTATCTCCCAGTGACCCTGCTTCATGTGCTTGCGAAGGTGACAAAAGCGGTCCTCGCTGAGGATTTAAGGAGCCATCAGGAAAAACACCCGTCTTGGTACAGGAGCAGCGTTGTTTCCGTCAACACCGGTATGCACCACCAATCTGCTAATTGCACGAGGCAACTTGACGGAAGTGGCTACTTGTGGGATCGGAGTTGACTTCACTTATCTGGACTTCTCCAAAGCATTCGACGGCCTGGATCACGAAGTCTTACTTCACAGGCTACAGAGTAATGGAATGTGAAATTTTGTTCTTGGTTTTATTGGCAACTTTCTTTACCAACAGAGGCTTCATGTACATGTTTAGGGATCACACTCTAACCCGACTGAAGTGCACTGGGGGTGTTCCATCTGGCTAAATACTGGGACCGCGCTTATTTCTGGTGTTTATCTTCGACCTGACAAGAGTTATGCCCTACAAATTCTGCTTTTCGCCAACCTCAAGACATGGAAAGCAATTAATTAGAAGGAAGCTCATGATCTACTCCAACCTAATCTGGATTACATTTGTCAATATCCAACGCGGAACTTACTCTAATTGAACACAACTAAGTGCAAGGTGATCCATCTGCGTCACCAGCCAGTGAGCGTGCACATGCTTAAAGACCACATCCGGCAGGAGTGCGATTTGGGTGCAATGGTACAGGATGATTTCGAATACTCGCAAAAGCGGAGAAGGCGTCACGAACCGGCAATTAACACCTTTGGCTTTCTTGGCAGTGGGTTCGGTCGGTTTGACCCCTCTATCTTCCTATAAATGCTTAAGGCCTACGTGCGACCGCACCTGGAATACTTCATTCAAACATATCAGCCGTGGCAGAAACACTATCTCCTTGCTGCCGAAACTCCTCAGCGGTGGGCAACCAAAGATGTTAAGGTTCACTTGCATCTACCATATCAGAAGTCGATACCGACTTTTGCGGAGATCTCATAATGGTTTACTGGGTTCTAAAGAACTCAAATCACATTTGCTGCCCACTTCTGATACTAACCACTACACTAACCTAAGTGGTCATTCTCTAAAACTGACAATACAGCATGGCCGGCTGGAATGCCGTAGAAATTTCGTATTAGTTCAATTGTGTCAGCCGTGGTTCGACCTCCAACATTTTGTCGTCCCTGCATCCAGCTAACAATATTTTAAAAAATGACGACGTTGTACCATCGGCATTTTATCACTTGTGTTAGCCAATAACTACATAACGCTACATAACGGTGTGTTTCCAAAATCCCAACCAGTGGATCTATGGATTTATAATTAAATCAAGTGAATATTTCAGCTATTTTACGGAGGTCCATGGTGAGTTCATCGTGAAGCTGTTCCGTTTAGCATAAATGTTTATGTTATCGATTCTTTTCATCCCAAGTTTCTTGTTAAGAATTGTCTTTTAAACCGTAATTTACCATTGTTCCACTGTTGCATTGGTTTATGGGAATACAAAGGAAGACAATAGCTTTACGATAATTTTCCTTCCTAGCAGCGAAATTTCTTGTGATGCATTAAATGTTGCTTGGCCACCCCTAAGACGAGTGTCCAGTTTGAGGAGATATATCTAACGACACACAGATAACCAAGACTGATGACACATAGGCATGTTGTTTACTATAATTCTACAACTGCTCAAGATGAAACTATACACATGTATTCTCAAGTGATATCCATAGACCAATCAACGGGTGAACAGCCGCTCAGCGTTTTTCCCTAATCTCCTGGTTTACGTGTAGGCACGCTTGTCTCTAACACCGAGGAGCTAGAAGCCTATAAACATAATTTGGGGAAAGAATCACTGTTTTCATATGGTATGAAGTTTGGGGGTTAACAACAATGAGCAGCACCATACGTCATAGAGCCTTTCTCCTCCTGTGTACAAGCCGAAGTTTCCAGCAAATGTTGACTCACGAGTGGTGTTAAAGACTATCTAACGAGTTATATGAAAGCAAGGGAAATACAAACATTTATTTTAATGCATCTTACCACGAAGAAAATCTCAGGCAAACAAATGCAAATTCAACCGTTTTACATCTTGAAAGCACTGCATTGGCAATACAATACTGTTAACTAGAAAGAATATCGGGATCGTATAAACTTTTCTTTGAAAGTAGTCAGTTCGTCGAAAGTTTATTATGACAGATTTGCAGTGCTTTTACGCAAAGATCGAATACGTGTTAACCACTAATTATTCGTCAATAGATCATTCGTTAGTGAATCAGGGATCTACTCACTCATCGCAACATAAGGAATATGCCATATGATGTTAGCGTCCCCGGTGCAAAGACGATGTCAACGCGCTTTAAACACCAGAATGCAGAGGGCACATAATCTTCAGGGGCTTGTTTCGCACCCTCATTCCGATGCGGACTGCAAATGCTTGACTAGTAAAACGGTGAATATCGGCTTCTGCGAGCGAATCGTTTCATGGGGTACCAAATAACGGTGAGCCTCAACTACGCCTGTCGCGATCTCTTGCCACTCAGCTAAAATACTATTCTAACAGGCCACCAGCTTAAAGTGGCAACACATTTCAGTCAGCTGGATTACCCTTAAACCTTACGCCTTGAAATGAAATGTTTATCTAGTGGTGCGTCCATACATTTACTCTTTCAAAAAAGTTTCTTGACGACATCATATCACATGACATATTCCGGAAGAAGGCGTAAAGCGAACATAACTGTGCGCTCACAGCTCTTTCCTTAAAATAATGGCGTGTAAATCAGCATCATTGTTTATGTGAACCAATCTGATAGTTAACTGGAACCCGAGTTCACACTTCTTTGCCAGTCATTGTTAACTTCGGTTTCATAATTTTCACTCCGGTGATTCCAAGGGACTGGCCAAGCCGTTACAAGCTTTCCCGTTATAAATCACTGCTTAATGTTCATTGGTATTTCATAAACCAGTGTCTATAGCCACCGCGAATTACGATGCATTACATATCCAGTGTGCTACAACACTACAATTTATCTGCTGATAAGTATGAATTTGACAATAATAACCACATTCGCTGCGTTTTCTAAGTTGATGACAAATTGCTGCTGTATAAATTGGACTAGGAAAACAAATTCAAACAATTACTGTCCTGCAACACTTTTTAATTGGCATTCTGCAATCAAAAACGTTTTTTATACAAATCTACGCCTTGACTGATACAATCTACTCACGTGGAACTTCTGTTTGGGGCCACCATTGGATGCTTGAGTCCAACGCACTGCCATGGTAGTACTGGTCGTGTTGATCAATCGAGGCATACTGGGCATCTCAGGCTTGGTTGGTTCTATCAGATCCACCTTTCCCACAGCCTGCCCGACTTCATTTGTAACCTACACGAAAGACAGTGCTGCTTTGTAGACAAGCTATGAACCGCATCACAGAGGTTTCTACTTCCGGTAAATGTTTGCAGTCTAGTAATAACTTTAGAAGAAATTAAAGCGAATAGAATGAGGCGTGCAAAATTTCCACTAATGAATGTTAGATTTCGACGGCGCATGGTGTGCTTGAACTTTTCGTAGTACACACATGCGTCCACCGGCTACTCCGCCAAGTTTTGCCGTTTCAGATAGTTAACAGTAAGGCGCAAATTGTTGTTTCTATCTTAGAAACATCTAGCACTCCCAAAAGCTTTTTTTATACCTAAGGTATCTAGTTAATAATAACCGGTACTTACCAGAGCTGGTAATATCTATTAGATTGGAAAGCTCTTGTCGGAAGTTTTGTACTAACTATTAAAGATCCAATATAACTGATGGTCATCAAAAGCACGAATTGTTAAACCAGGGGAGTCCAAATTCTGTCCCGCGGGCCAAACGCGGCCCACGTTAACGTTTTAATTGAAAGTATAGTTTCAAGCTTGGATTTTTTTCTTACGGACGACATTAGATAGATTACAAAAATTAAAGGACATCATGACTGAATACAGCCAGCCATATTTTTACCTCACAAACTTGGCCCGACTTGCGAAAAGTTTGCACACCCCTATCCTATACTTTCGCCAGAACTTTGCCATCTGAACCGATACATATTTTGCATCTTCTAATTTTAGCAGCAAACTTACGATTTGGTCTTTCTTTTGCTTTATTTCATGTGTATGCACCAAGTAAGCAAAATGCGTGCTGCTAAATTTCCTTTACCATATTAGCACTTTAAACACTGTTACACGTAACAGGCAGTGAAGATAGTGCTTAGTTCTTTCGCTTCCCTCGGCTATCACTTGCTGTAAGCCTAAACCAGAATTAATAAAAACTACTTTGACCCATGTCTGTGAAAAGTGTGTAACAATACATTCAGGCAAAAGGTGAGCTGAATCTCAACAATCACAGGAAGTGTTGTTCTAAAAATTTATTTTATGGATGAAAGAATGTTATCCTTTGTGATGTAGCAACTATTGAAATTAGACATACACTTGATTAGGGAAGCCAAACCACCGAATCAGCTGCGTCTACAGACTGCAGCTCATCGATCTTATTCAAGTCGCATAAAGTTTTTCAAGCATATTCGACGCTCTAACGAAATTTATCCATGACAAATTCGGTTTACCAGCTCTAGGAAACCGATCTAAAACACTGGCACTGTTTGCACAAAAAAGGCAGTTGGAAAGTAGGGCTGTAGTATGTGTCGGTACTTAGCCCCAGCCTATATTGTTAATATAGTGTCTAGCATATCGACCAGGTGCGTAGCTCAGCCAGATGCATACATGGCTGACTGTTGAAACACAAGCGCTTTGCTGTCCTTCCCAATGCGCCATAGGTGAGTTCATGATCTCATTGTTACCCCTTCCAGAGTTTGCTCAGTTAGAGCTTTATACTTCGTTATATTTCCTCTGAACCATGTGACCAAAAATCTTCATCCTTCGAAATAATTGCAGCTACGTAAAAACTATGTAGGTTGAGCAAAGTGAGCATCATGCGCATAGAAGAAATTCGCTATGACTCGATATAACGCTTATTCACCATTTAATAAGGATACTATGATTTCCATCACTCGTTAACTTGAGCGTGTCTGTGGTACAAATGCATGTAGGCTCTCCGAGAACCGAAGTATTCGTGAAGTGCACAACCGTTAATTATACTCTAATGAATGTCGTTAATCTTATACGCACATACACAATGGAACTTATGTAGCAGTTCCGGAGCTCCTATTTTGCCATCTTTTTAGTCATGGCTACATTACCTCGAATGTTATAAATGTGGCGCTTCCTACATTTTCAGTGAATCTATCTCCAAGATGGCCACGCACATTCGTTTCATCGCTTGGGCAAAATAACAATGCGCAGTCATTCAATTCTTCTCTCACTGTCAGAATTTACGAAGCGGTTTGGTAAACAACTAAACAGTCGTGTTTTCACATTTTCTTGTTGGTTGTTGTGGCGCGTTCTCTAACTCTATCTCCTGTATAGAGTGAGCTGTTTTTCACCGGAGCAGTGCTTTTCTGCGCTGTGACAATTATAAGTAGGACATAACTATTCTGAAGTTGTTTATGTCGTTTTGAGGATAACTTACTCCCTTGGGCATTTGACAAATTACATCTGGATGTCTGAGGTGAGGGACCAGTCGAATGCAGTTTGTAGACAACATTAGTTCTGACTCGAAAGATAATATGTTTAACGGGTACGACTATTAAATAGGGCCGCCATTTTGTTCCAAATATACCTTGCAGTAATATCGTCCGAGATCCGGCTCTTTCGGTTTGATTAGATATAGGATGGCATGGTACAGACCAGGCTGGATAATTCTCACTTCAGATTGAAACTGACCACCTTCAACTAGGGTCAAATTGGCGGGCTCTCGAATCCACTCCACTTTTGGCATCGGCTCTGCGCCAACCACACAGGTCAGACGTGCTTGATTAGCTTCACTTATGCTGTTGTTGTTTGGTGAATTTGACAGGTGGTGATGTTCAGCCGGTGTCCGCAGACTGACTGAAGGCGCTGCCTTTAACCACCTTGGAATGGAAATGATTTTCGGTGCAACTAAAGTGAAGGAAGAGTGGATTAGTGGATGACGTATCGTTCGATGATTCAATACGCAGACCTGCAACCATCATTAATTTGTTTGCAACGAGACTAATCAATGGGTTCCGTTTTGGGTAACGTGCTTAGGTTTCTTTAGTGTTTGCTCAGTACTACAATGCAGAAGGCCATGGCCTGCTCGGTTAAGTGTAACTGTGTAAACATTATGTGTGACCGAATACTTAGCGATTTTTAAGTACCACGACATCGTTGACATTATTAGCACACCCAGTTTAACATGCTCCTGTATTTTTCCACATACCTATTGAAAAACGTAAAATATTTATGTGCATTTTGCGGTATCCACAATATTCCGTTTGCTCTTCAGGACAACGGTATTTATGTACTATGTATTGAGTACATGCTCGTCCGCTTAGCAAGCCCTATGCCCATACTCAGGTAAAGTCATTACTGATCCACTAGTTATGGCAGCCTACAGTCTGCGGTAACAAGGGATAAGCTACAAGTTAATGACACCGACGAAATTCTTGGAAAGTATTTGGTAAAAAATCATCGTTACATTTTCTGGAGAAGATAAAATTAGCATCATAATAATTGTACTATTGCTCAAACTATGGGGTCATAAGAAAAACCCAAATGTGATTTTAAATTAATTCATTTTAAACTCTTTACAGAAATATGGTTGTACACTTATCCGAAATACAACTAGAAGGCATTGCACTATTAAGACTTCCTGCCGTTTCTCTCTAGCCCCTATACGTTGCGTCACCGGATCCCCTTACTGTGATGAGTTAGAAAAGCAAGCATACGATCCAATACGTGCTAACCAAGCATCAACTTATGCATAAACATATTGGCCCATCAGTCGGATCTACTGGAATTTCACGAACGAAAATATGTTTTCTTCATACTGATTTAGAAAGCCTGGGGTGCGTCCTCTATTATTATAAATCCTGAGTCACATTTAGTCCACTGAAGTTATATCATTACGGAAAATACTTGTTTTTGATTATACGGTCTAACTGTTATGGCAGCCACCTGTCTAAGGCAACCACCTGCCTATAGTGACCAGGCAAAGATATCCCCAAGGTTTGATTTCATGAGTAATATCCCTAAGCATGAACCTGTCCATGGCGACCACGTGTACAAGGCCGCCAATTCTGTCCATCCCTAGAGTTTGACAGCACCACAATGCGGTTCCACTTGGAGTAGTTACGACATTTACCAATACAGTTGGTAATCCAAATTGGAAATATTTACCCCACAAATTAAATAATAAATATATCAAAATAATACTTAGAATAACCCAGGTTCACCTTATTTTGTCTATGTTAACACAATCATTTTTTCAATTTTCCAGACGCGTCAAATGTTTCAATACTTCAATAATGTATGATGGGATAAAAAACATAAGTTTAAAAGACCTACATCATGGAGACGCAAAAGAAAATTAAACTAAAATGTTTCAATATCGAACGCGAAGTATCAGGGGTTAATCGATTGAACTTTATCAACTTGTTGTGTAGCGTGATGCACCAAGATGAAATCTAATAGTCTTTGGAATGTAGTGCTGTCTGGTACACCCCGAGTAAACATTTTTCGATAACAGAAGAAAAAATGGTGCTTTTCACCACATACCTTTGTAATGCATTCCATTAATAACAGAGTCTTAATGAGTAAACTATTTTATACAACTGAAATGGAGTGTTGGGTCATTGGTTTCAGGTGATTGCCTTGGCTTTGTTTGTAAGATGACAGGACCAAGAGTGATGTACATGAATGTTCGCTTATAGTTACTATCCGGTACCTGAGAATGAAACGCGAAGCAGTCGGAATTCTGAGGAAAACACACTGAGTACACTAAGACACAGATTGCAACAGACACCGGATAGTCCACGCGTTGCTTTTGTGTCTCTATTTTGGGCTCGTTCCCTTAGGCGAATATCTCGTTTCAACCATTGACACCCGACCTGAATTGCATATTCAACGTGAGGACGAACAAAGGAGTTAATCAGCACTGGTGCAGTTGAGCTCACGTCAAAAGCCTCAATTTCAAGTTCGCCGATCTTGCTGCTTTCGAACATTGAAGCGAATTGTCAAGTCTTTCTCGCAAGATAAAACCTAAGCCGAGTTCACCAGTCACGTTGTTCAGGACGTGTTTCACAAAAGGACATGTGTTGACGAAGCTGCTGCGCACCGTCAGCAGGTGGCACTTTGCACGATTAAGTGGGAGCTGGTTCGCTTCTGCCATTTCAATAATACGAGTCAGCTCATCCTAAATATATACACCTGCGGATGCGGGGCGAATCGCTCTCTATATTTTGGCATCGTCTGCAAATAATTGCCTCTGAAATAGAATATTTGCAGTAAGGTAAGTAAAGTAGACTAAACGCAGTAGCGAGCTGAGGACTGATCCTTGCGGAATACTGCTGGAGAAGCACGGGTTTTCAGAGTGAGAGTCGACTACTCTTAGCTTGATTGATCCGTTGTATAAGTAGTCTTTCAACCAGTAGAGCATGGAAACATAGACAGCAAGCTATTGGAGCATACAAAAGTGATTGACCCTGTCGAATGCTTCAGAAAAATCTAAGTAAATCACATCTATAGGGGATCCTTCATCAGCCACACTGGTCCGTGAGCCCACTTAAGGAGTAATTTGGTGAGACAAGATCGTCTGCGGCTGAAACAAGGTCGGACATGAGAGACTATTGGTAGACTTTCAAAGTATCGCGTCAGTTCATCGCGATTACCGGTTCTATCACTTTCGATAAAACAGGAAGGCGAGTAATGGATCGGTAGTTGGCAGGATGCCAGTGCTTACCTCATTTGTATATTGAAGTAATAATTTCATTTTTCCACTCAGATAGGAGTGCATGGCCGTCAAACAGTCCCTAAAATGGCTTCAACTTGGGCTGCTTTGGTACGATCAAGGGTATTAAGTACGTTTAGGCACAACATATGGATTCCATGGGCACTATACTCCAAGAGAGACTGTAATAAGACTGCATAAGTTGATGCGGTGTAAGTGACGCCGGACAAGCTAGTGGGAGTAGGTAGGTCGAAATTCCACGGTATTAGTAGCTGCCGAGTCGAACTTCAGAAGTGGAGCTTTCGTGCATCCATAGCTGTAGTAATTAAGCCACTGGCCTTCTTCAGTGGTTGCATTCCGGGCTTATCCTTACTTTTGCCATTCACTTATCTGTAAAATAGCTCGGTGTTACTCGTAAATCTCGGCGCCATATTATCCTGAAAGTTGTAATTATCAACTCTAATGAACGACCGGCAGTGGTTTCTGATTGTTTTGCAATTCTGCCATGTGGTATCACATAGGCTTAACGAAGGTTGCCTCCAAATTTCATCTCTTCTGTTTATCCAGTTACTTGTTCTACTTCGGATCCACGTATCGGTCCGGCGCGCTACTCTTAATGGTACATCTTTTGATGGGGATTGTTTGACCTAGTTAATTTGCTTTCAATACATTTCATGCGTCATTCGCTGAATAATGTGTTTGTAGGTTCCAGTCAACGGTTTCTGCTAAGTTGTACAGCTTAAAATAGCCCGTTGAGTTTCTCTTTATTTATCAAAAATACTGGCATAATACACAAAACCAAAGGTTACGACTGAATGATTGCTACGGCCCAGCGAATGATCGTATGCTACGGACGCAACCAACAAATCTTCATTAGTCAGGATTGAGTCCAGGAGTGATGGCTTGTTTGAACAGCGGTGTTTGCTTATTCGACGCACATAGCTGTACAAAACTGTCAAACCCATGAATTCAAGGAGCTTCTATTTAACTGATGGCCATTGGGGGACACTGATACTATTGAGGGAACATTGATGTCGCCAATAACAAGATAGTGCGAGTACTTTCGTGAAGCAACATAGCGGAGAGCGTTTAACAGATTGCTATCGCTGTCTTCCTACAAGTTCGGAGGCCTATAGATAAATGCTAAGAGGCAAGCTTCACACGTCTTCTGTGAACCCACATCTCGACCTGCTAGGTGGAGCCGGCAAAAGAGTGAGTCGGAAATAACAAGGGAATTTTCGGGAAGGGCCTCGCATTGCAAGTAATCTCCATAGTAGAGGGCAACACTGCCACTGCGGGATGGACTATCATTTCCAATGGCTGACATCTCACTGAGTTCAAACTCTGGATCAAGTATGTCGTTTAAATTCCAAGTTCCAGTAACTGGTATGAAGTCCCAAGTTGTTGCTTCATGTCGTTGGCGCAGTTCTGAGAGCTTAGAATACCACCCCTGGGTGTTGATGTAGCAGCATTGTGTTTGTTGACGGATAAGGAGCTCGGTTCGCTTTAAGTGACGAGCGAAAAATTGTACGGTTGGTAGATCTAGTATAGGTGCAACCAAAACTTGCTCATTTGTGTCTGGGGTCCGTACTAATTGAATGAATGTTCTAAACCGTAATTATGGTGTCCTAATTCCCCTACTGTCATACCACGCTTGGATCGGCACTGATACCATTACGGGCGCAGCCAAAGTCACTTTCAAAATTTTCGGCTTGCTGCCATGTTGCATTGTGGAGGCAACTGGGCGGATGACTTCAAAAGCTATGACCATTTGCATGTCCTAAAGCTCTGTGATGTACCTACCATCTTAGAGGTCGTGCTTTACCGGTCACTTTTATGGCCATGCTTCAATTCTTGCACAGCATGAACAAGTACCATTTTCAACATCTCATTTTGACGTGATGTATTTGGGTTGGATTTCCGCTTCTGTTTTTCTGCCTATGGACTGTCAGAAAAATGCGGGAACTAACAGAAGAGTTCAATAGAATGTGGCTTACTAAATGAACACCGAGGTTCCCCGAGGTTTGGAGATGATAGATTTCGTGAAAGGCGTGTAAGACTAGTTGGGTAAACTTTTCGTCCGAGTGCGTAGGTTATTTCAGCCTGGCGGTTTCGCTGCTCGGCTTATCTACCTTTTAGCTATTCCCTACTGGGTTAGGGACGTTTGAACATATCACTGTCATCGCCTTTT